CCTGGCTCTGCCTCCCGAGTGCTGGGATTAAAGGCATGCACCACCATCATCTGTGTCTTATAGTTCACTGTTCTAGACTTCAAGGTGACTGAGGGTTCAGGGAAATGACTGAGACTTTCAGGTGCCTTTTCAGGGGTCTAGGACAAGGCAGAGAATGCCTTGGTTGGTTATCATCATGACGTCAGCCCTGAATGGGTATGAGTCAGGTTAGGGCCGAGCCCCAGTCTTTAGACAGACACTGAGCGATCAGCATGCTTCCAGGCAGAGCTAAGCAGAGGGCTGAGCCAAAAGAAAAGGAGGCAGAGTCCAGGCCCTAACCCAGTCTGTGCTTCTTATCAGAAAGCAGCTTCTAAACACCTGTGCAAGTGCTGTGCCGTTCACAAGTCTCCTAAAGCTGTGACCTGTTGTGTGATATTTTGTGTTCTGACAAAGCTTGCCTGGAGATAGAGGGCACAGCTAGCCACTAGTTGAGCAGAGGCCTTTAATCCCAGTACTTGGGAGGCTCATGCCTTTAATCCCAGCACATTCGGGAGACCTCGGGCCCATTTGGTCTGAGGATTGTAGAGGTAAGAAGTCTCTAGTGGCTGCCGCTTGACTTCTCTGATCTTCCAGGTTATTACTCGGAAATCTGACTCCTGGTTTTAGTTGATAAGACTAACTAGGATCATGCTTCAGTGACCAGCCAAGACTATCGTTCTATGAAAGGGTTGACTCACATAGACCAAGGAAACACAGTCCTTCTGGATCAATTCTTCAAAATTGGCTGAGTCTGACTTTTATTGCCCCATATGTGTTCTTCTGATTTGTGTGTCTTCTATATTGAATTGCAGCAAGAGATACCTCTTCAGTTGGATGTCTGGGGTTGGCACACATCCTGTTTGCCCGGCATGTTGACTTCACCCTGGTTTCTCTTTCTCAGATGTAAGATAATAGTTGACTCATTTTGGTCTCATTCTGGTGCTGTACAAATAATACGACCAAAAGCAACTTAGAGGAAAAGGTTTATTTCATCTCAGGGCAGGACGTCAAAGGCAGGCCTGCTTGCTAGTCTCTATGGCATCACCTCAGCACAGAAGCGCAGCAGAAACGATGCAAGATGCTGCTTGCTGCTGGCGCACTCGCAAACCAGGCTTAGCTAGCTTTCTTGTTAGTGCAGGACTACCTGCCCAGGGAATGGCGCCGCCCACAGCGGACTAGATTCCCTCCTCAGGTCACTCTGCGGTCAAGCGGGCAGTTAAAGCTGGCTAGGATGGGCCTCCCATTAGCCGTGGCTTGCAGTTAAAATTCAGTATGTGAGGTTATTCGTTAATTGCCCAAATCTGTTTTACTATTTTCCTGCTTTTGTAATTGGAATTTTTCCTTGTTTCTTATATTTCATCATTTTAACACCTTCACTCTGTATTAGCAAATTCAAGTTTAGAAGTGGGCTGGGTGTGGTGGTACATGCAGTGCCCTAGTCCTCGAGGAGGCAGGAAGATCAGAGAAACATAACTCTATCAGTTAGATCAGCAGTTCTCCACATGTGGGTCACGACCCCTTCAGGAGGCGAATGACCCTTTCTCAGGGGTCACCTAACACTATCTGCAAACATAAATTTACATTACAATCCATAACAGTAGCAAAACTGCAGGTATGCCATAGCAACAAAGTAACTGTGGCTGGGGGTCACCATGAGGACCTGTGTTAAAGACGCATCAGGAGGGTTGAGGGCGCTGTTCTAGATTAACTGAACATTTCTGTCATTCTATAGTGACATTCTTCAACACAAACACAGCCATCCCAGCTTTCTTCTGGCTGGAACTTGACTGGCTTTTTTTTTTTTTTTTTTTAAATTTTATTTACTTATATTTTATGTATGAGTGCTCTGCATGTGCACCTGCAGGCCAGAAGAGGGCACCAGATCTCATTACAGATGGTTGTGACCTACTATGTGGTTATTGGGAATTGAACTCAGGACCTCTGGAAGAGCAGCCAGTGCAGTGCTCTTAACCCTCGAGCCACCTTTCCAGCCCCCCTGACTGGCTTTTTAAATACACATCTCAGTCTTGCTGTTTTCTTACATTTTTGATTTAGCATTTATAAACATGCAGTAGGATTTTGCTTCCCACTTCAACCTGACAGTCTTTATTATTTGGTCTGGTCCACTTGTTTTTTATTTTTTTAATTTAATTTTTTTTTGAGACAGGGTCTCTCTTTGGTTGTCCTAGAACTTGCTATGTAGAGCAGACTAGCTTCAGAGTGACAGAGATCCGCCCGTCTCTGCCTCCCAAGTGGAGTTCAGAGTTCTAGGGATGGTTATGAACGGCCGTGTGGGTCCCCTGCCACAGCAGGTGTCGTCCCCACTGAGACAGATCTCCAGCCTGACATTAACTTAGAACCTTGTGTGCATGTGTGTGAGGGAGCGCGTGCCAGGCTTGGGAAGTGGTTCTTTCCTTCCACTGTAGGTCCCAGGGTCAAGCACTTCTACACTGAATCATCGTGTTTTACCCCAAAACACACGACTAAATTACTGTAACTGCACCTTTTTATTTTCAGTGCTGTGAACTGATTCTAGGCGCCCCCGCTTCCACTGCACTTTCTTTGACCTGTTTGACTTTTTAGACTGGTACACTGTTAACGAGTGCTTACGAACTGAAAAACCAACCCACTCCAATCCTGCTTTCCTTAAACCGTGGTTTACTTTTTAAGATTTTTAGTTGTGTGTGCGCGTGTGCACCCCAGTACAAGTTCCTGCGGACGGCTACAAGTGCAGGCTCTCCTGGAGTTATAAGCAGTTGAGCTGAGTGTGGGTGCTGGCTCCCACACTTGTACCCCTTTAACAACGGTGCGTGCTCTTCCTGCTCAGCCTCCCACCCTGGGTTTTGTTTTTTGGCAACTACAGAATGACAGAAATGTTCAGTTAATCTAGAACAGCGCCCTCAACCCTCCTGATGCGTCTTTAACACAGGTCCTCATGGTGACCCCCAGCCAGTTACTGTGTTTGTTTGCAGATAATGTTAGGTGACCCCTGAGAAAGGGTCCTTCGCCTCCTGAAGGGGTCGTGACCCACACGTTGAGAACAGGTTCCACGCAGTCCAGGCTGGCCTCCCATTCCCAATCTCCAGTGACTAAAGCCGCTAGGCTGCATTTATGTGGGGCTGGGAATTGAACCTTGAGCTTTATGCCCACTAGGCAAGCACTGACAGCTGAGCGTCTCAGCCCTTTTTTGTTTTTTCAAGATTGGGCTTTCTGTGTAACAGCCCTGGGAACTCCCTTTGTAGACCAGGCTGGAATTACAGACGTGAGCCACCACCTCCTGGCTCCATTCTCAACCTCTAGTGTTTTTCAGACAGGATTTTGCTAGTGGGCCCAGGCTGGCCTGGAACTCATGTCTCAGCCTGCCCTATCTCTGAATATATGTAGTGAATACACACACACTTCATGGACACACTAAACTCATCAATCAGTTCTTGTAGAAAAGAACTCAGGAGTAAGAAAGGGGTTGTGGGGGAATCCTGTATGTACACTATCCCTCCAGATCTCAAGATACAAAGTATTATTTGTCCTGATGTACAAAAATTTGCTGTTTTATGACATTTTCATGTGTGTTCCTGTGCGTACGTGCGTGCCACAGTGTGGGTCCTGGGGCCTGAGCTCAGGGCATCAGGCTTGGCCTTCATCTGCCGGGTCGTCACGCTGGCCTCTGCCATCCTGAAGTTGGTAGAACTGCTTGTAAAGCGGTGTCGCCATCTAGTGGACACATTTAAGTAGGCTTTGAAGCTAGTTTTAAGCAAACCTTTCTGCCTCAAAACCATTGGTGAGAAGGGACACATCCTCATGACCAAGACCACACATTCTGAGGCTGACTCAGCCTAGAATTTAACATTAGTTTTGTTATTTACTGTGTGATTTAGGGGCAGAATATCAAAATTTTCTGTGTCCACTTGAGTTTGAACTCAGACCTCATCAATTATGAGGCATCCTCTTGATGGAGCTGCAACAGTGCCCCCTGGAGTTTATTGAAGGTGTGCGCTAGACTGTGGGATTGCAATGTTTTTTTAAATAAATGCATTAGTGTCCATGTATAAGGTGTGTGTCAATACAGGTGCATGCCACATCACCCAGGCAGTCACTGGACAACTTCTGGGAGTCACTTTTCTCCTTTGGTTCTGAGAGGGAATTGATAGGTCATAGTTTACCACACCACCACCCCCTTCCCCCAGGGTTTCTCTGCCCTGGAATTTACTTTTTTGTTTTGTTTTTTGAGACAGGGTTTCTCTGTGTAGTTTTTGGTTCCTGTCCTGGATCTCGCTCTGTAGACCAGGCTGGCCTCAAACTCACAGAGATCCACCTGGATCTGCCTCCCAAATGCTGGGATTAAAGGTGTGTGCCACCATGCTTGGCCTCCTCAAATTCTCTTTCCTCTTGCTTCAGCCCCTTGGTCAGCTGAGGTTACAGGTGCGCACCACATTTGGCACTACACTGGGTTTAAGTTTGCATCCTAGTCACTCATGCTGATGTAACCTTAGCAAACAGTACCCTCAAGGGCGTGAGCTCACAGGAGTGGGACAGCGACTTAGTTCCTGTCCTCTTCTCCTGCCCACCAGGATCTCACTGAGTGTGTGGCATACATCTACACAGAATACTCTGAGTACACATGTATGTAAAGTCACCTTGACTTACAGTAACTTATTTATGTTGAAACATGTTATATCAGGAATAAGCTCAAGACAGAAAATACATAGAATGCCAACAACTTGGGAGAAAAAGGACCTCAATCATGAAATGGCATAAGAGATTTAATTTCTAATGTCTATGACTGCAACAAACTAATCAAAGGGCAGTGACCACAGTCTAGCTCCAGGAATGAAGGGGACCGTGGGTAGATGGGTCCCAAGCTTCTCTTATACCATAGTCCCTAAGATTTGGGGATAGGGCCAATCTAGAATAGACTTCTGAATTCTTCAACTTTGATAGGGTGATGTTCATATGTCAAACATTGTATTTTGCATTCAGCAAACTTAATCTTATCAAATGTTCTTTAATTTCATAGACCATATGAAATATACTATATAGGCACACAACAGTTTTGCAGTACAGTTTCAAAGTGTATACAGATTAGAATACAGAGGTTAAACACTGGTGTACTGACCACAGCTTAAACTTTAGATAAACTTCATAGAAAAAGTACAATTCAATATCAGCCAATTGAAAACTTTACTCTTCTCATAATATAAAAAATGGTAATTTGAGATACAATTTTTTTTTTACTAAACAAACTATATATAAACATTTAAAATAATCATTAAAAACTCGACATTAGAATTTATAAAGATTCACTATAAAAATATATTGGCAGTCCCTTCTCTTATAAAGGTACCCTTGGCTACATTACAAAATAGTCTCAAGGCAAGTTGCCTTGGTAACTACTTTAGAACCTGACAAACCTACAGTAAGATGATTATAAACCCTCTCGGGAAGCTTTGGTGTACATCTTCAGGTTATTGAAAAGATTTTTAAGGGCATTTGTAAACACTTCATTCTGTTAAAGCACAAAAGAGTAATGCTCTTCAACTGCATACAGGATTAGAGAATTAAAACGAAATTATTACATCCTTGTGAAAAATCGCCCTTACCTTCCGGAAGCAAAAATCAACTATTTAAAACTGTCAAATTTTCCATTCTGATAAAAATGTTACAAATCACCATCTTCAGATTCTGTGCCCTTTGCCTGTTAGAACACTTATCAAAACCCCTCAATTCCAACAAAAGCAACTATTAAAACTTATTCAACACACCTGACAATATGACAACTAACAAGCAGACCACATAATTTACACACTTAGTAATGTATTATGCTTTCTTTTACATTTGTAATTGAGAATTTATTGGCAGGAAGCAAACACACACACACTCACGCACACAAATGAAAAGGCAAATCTTGGAAACAAACAGTAAGAATACAAACTGAGAGGGAGTGGGTTCTTCACCAGGGCTGCTGCGGCCGCCACCACCTCTGACTGGACGCTGTCTAAGTTTCCTTGCTGCAGTCCATTTCCTGGAGTACTTCCCCCGGACCTTCCAGTCCTGCCAGCAGCTTCCTCCTGCTCATCTCCACTTATCCTCTGTCAACCTGCGCACTGTAAAAACCTAATACAAATAGCTTCTTTGACCTCTGAATTTATAAAACTCCACTAAAAAGAAATCCACCTCATTTTAAAGCAAGTCCATAAAAATACTTTCTCTTTAAGAATCAAACACTTTTATGAGAATAAAGATCCTTCAAAGTCTTTAGCTCTTCGATCAGAGTTTTGTTCTGGTTTTCCAGAACGGCGACCCGGTTCTCCAGGCACTTCACGTACTCCTTCTTCTTCCTGCGGCACTCTCGAGCGGCTTCTCTAGACACAAGCACGCAGACATTAGGGAGCAGACGTGAGGAGCGCTGTTTAGTGGATACGGTCTCATGTGCAGCCCAAGCTGGCCTCAACTCTTGCTGCCCCTGCCTCACCCTCTTCTCAATGCTGGGATTCTAAGCATGTGCCACCACCCCTGACTCCTATTTGAAAAACTAAGATGTCACCTAGGAGGAGACAGATGACTCAGCAGTTACGAGCACGTGTTGCTCTGGCAAAAGACCCAAGGTCAGCCCCATGTTGGGTAGCTATAACTCCATTGGGGGCGAGGGAGGTATCAGACATCTGGCTTTTATACGCGCGCGCGCGCACACGCACACGCACACACGCGCGCACACGCACACACGCGCGCACGCACACACACGCGCACACACAGTAATAATTTGGTAAACCCCCGTACTTGAGACACAACTCCATTGCCCTAGAAGCCTTCGCCCTCCTGGTCGGCTCTCCACCAGGCCATCGCTATCCTGTCACCCCGTCCGAATGTTTGAGTCAGCTCCTAATTATTGCCTTTTCTGGACAAGCTTTTGCTCTATAGCCTAGGCTAGACCTAAGTTCTGAAGACCACCTGCCTCAGCCTCTTGATTGTGGCAATTACAGACACATGTCTTCACCACAGTCTTTTCCCGTTTCTAGAGACTCTCATTATGTAGTTCAGGCTGCTCAGGATACTATCGTGTCTGGCTCCCCACAAACTTTTAAAAAAAAGATTTTATGTATTTTTTTTAGTTTTTTTTGAGATTTCTTTTCTGTGTATGAGCTTGAAAGTGCTCATGGAGGCCTAAGAGGGGGCCAGGACCTCTGGAAGAGCACTGAGCCACCTCTCCAGCCACCATCTCCAACTCAGAAGTGGCATTCAGTGACACGTATCCATCCCTTCTCAGTGTCTCCCTGGAGCTCCCCCGGCCCGGGTATCTCAGGATGCACGGAAGCCCTGGCCTCCCCGTGCTGACACCTCAGTCCCTGGAGAGGCCCCTCCGTCCAGTGTTCAGTTCAGATCCCCAAATGCACACACAAGGTCTGGCGCAATTTCTTCTTTACAGGTCACTGTGTTCCTTCTCTTTCGTTCTCTGCTCTATCTACTACAGTTCCCTTACATAACGTGCAAGCGTTCTTCTTGATCAGGAGAATTGTGACGGCATTCCGTCATACGGCACTGTGGGTCTAATGTGTTGGGAATGCTTCTCTCCTCCTCACATGAGAGAGAGCAGCTCTGACCTCTGCCTAGGAAGCCTCCCTGTTGGGAAGGCCCATGAGATGTGCCTTAGTCTTTCCTGGTGTGCAGCCTCTGGAGCTGCTCCGCCCATTTGTGCCGAGCCAGAGCATCGTCTTGTAATTTCTTAAGACTCCTCTGTTCATTATGCACACCAACCTCATACCTATTTTTCTACTTTACTACTCCCCAATTTCACATCTGATATTTTTAATATTTATTTGCTGGGCATAGTGGCAAATGTTGGTGAGTTTCAGGACAGTCAGAACTAAACAGTGAGACCCTGTCTCAAAAATCACCAAAAATAAAGAAAATTATGTGTATGGGTGTCTTACCTGCATGTATGTCTGTGCACCACCTGTGTCCTGGTGCCCTTGGAGGATCCTCATGGACTACAGTGACAGATGGTTATGAGCTGCCAGTGCTCTAAACCACCAAGCTGTCTTTCCAACTTTTTTCCCTTTGGTTTTATGAGTGTCATGTAGCTGAGCATGGCCTTGAACTCCCAATCTTGCCTCCACCTCTCAAGTGCTGAGATTGAAGGTGTGTGCCGCAATGACCAGCTCAAAGGTTCTCATTTTAATGAGGTCACATTCATTAATAATTACACAATTTCCCTGAAAGCTATCTTGTTTTGGAAATCCTTTCCTATACTCAGGCTATAAAATTATGTATAGTTATATTAAAGTCTTAAATCTCACACCTTATACATTAAAAGTGGTTTTTTTTGTTTTTTGTTTTGGTCAAAGTTGAGCTATGTAGTGCCAGTTGGTTTTCAAGAACACAGCATGTGCCAGGCCTAAAGCTCTTCTTTTTTCTTGCTCTGCAGAGTGGGATGAGTTACAGTCTCCTTATGTGGCTCAGGCTGACCACCTCCCAAGGGCTGACCTTCTGGACACAAAGGACTAGTTAGTTCCCCCCACCCCATCCCACCTCTCTGTATATATTTGTTAGAGTTCAATGTCTGGAATTTGTCGGAGCTGTATCAAGTGCTTTCCTCCAGGGCTCTGGAGAACTGTGCAAGACAAGAACTCATTTAAGTGACATTTCTAGCTTTGAGTGCAGTGACCACCTCATGAAATGTAACCTATGCAGTGCCCCAGCACAGCAGCGCCAAGCCTGTTCCCATCTCTTCAGCGCATCAAAACTAGGTAAGACATGAATTTCAGCTGGATGGGGTGGTGCACGCCTTTAATCCCAATCACCAGGAGACAGAAAAAGGTGGATCTCTGAGTTCAAGGTTAGCCTGGTCTACAGAGTGAGATCCAGGACAGGCACAGCTGCACAGAGAAACCCTGAGGGTCTAGTTCATCACTAACCTCATCAGATTCTTGGTTTCTTCCCTACAGGTTCCACTCACTTTAAAGAGGCAGCTCAGACGTTTCATCAATCTTTAAAAACTGTACATAGCTGGTCATCTTGTGAGAAGTAAACCCCCATCTTTTTTGAGACAGGGTCTCATGTAACCCAGGCTGGCCTCCAACCTCCCCTGAATGTCTTGAATTTTACCTCCACCTCCTGCCTGCACCACACCTAGTTGTGTGTGACATTGGGGATCAAACCAAGCTTTGCACATGTGGAACAAGCACTCTAACTTTTTAAGACCCTTCCTTGGAGTTTCTAGATATAGCTCTTATCAATTTTCTTCTATTTACATATGCACTTCATTTATCTCTTCATCTCTTGGAACCTCCAAAACAGTTTGTCTTTTTACCAAACTCATTCATAGAGACACAAGCAAATGATAGCAATCCCTGCTGTTACGTTTTAAACCCCCTCCATCTGTGACTCGGCTTCCGCTGTCGTTCCTCGTTTCTGGGTCCCTGTTCTCCTCTTGCACACAGTACATAAAGTTACCCGTTATATATGCACTTTCTCCAAAAAGCAAGTTTTCATGCCTGATATATTAAAGTGAATGTAGTAATATGTCTAAATGTATTTAAGGGGATGGGGGCATGGCTCAATTGATGGAGTGCTTGTCTGGCATGTACGATGCCCTGGGCTTGACCCTCAGCAGCACACAAGACTCCACTTGGTGGAGTCTGACAGTCCTAGGACTCAGGAGTGGGAACAAGATCACAAAGTCTCTGTTGGCTACCCAGCCAGTTCCAGGCCAGCACGGGCTACACAGACAAATGAAAACAATATATGTATTTAAGAAGGAGGTACATGTTTCACGGTGATTGAGTTAAGTGCCACCGTGCGCACAGGCACGAGGTCCAAGGACAGCTGTGTGGAACTGGCTCCCCCCCCTTCAGGTCACTAGGCTTCCAGACCAGAGCCTGTGTCTGCTGAACCATCTTCATCTGTGATTTGCCTTTTTTATTGAGGTATACCAGAGGGCCCCAGATCTCCTCACAGATGGTTCTGAGCCATCTCTCCAGCCCCTGATGCTTCCATTTTAACCATCTGCTGGAGTCACAAACTGCCCACTGAAGATGGTAAGTTCTTAGAAATGTAGTGTATATTCTGACTCTTCAAATGGCTCTTCCTGTCTCTGACTCTCTCCTTGAAGATGTATATGGACGTCAGGCCTCTTAGAACCCTATAGTGACCTTCATCCTTGGTGAAAGCTAAGTCAGGCCAGAGCAAGACCTGCCAGCCAGCCAGCCACACTGAATGAAAGGGCAACTCCAGAGAGCTTGTCAGCCCGAAGATGAAAGGCTGAAAGTGTCTGTGGTCACCCAGATCAAAGCAGCCGTAAGGTTCCCGTAATCCAAGGTCTACTCTAGAGAAGGCCCTGAATCTCTTTAATCTGGAAGGGTAAGAGAGAGGTGAGAAGTACGCAGAAGTAGGTCCATGAAAGAAGCCATTCCTAGGCTATGAAAGTCAAACACTGGGTGCAGGAGAGGTGGCTCAGTGGTTAAGAGCACTTGTTACTCTCCCTGGTGACTCAGGTTTGATTCCAGCATCCACAGCTTACATCTGTCTATATAACTCCAGTCCAAGAGGACCCAATGCCCTCCTTCTGACCTCTGTGGGGACCAGACATGCATGTACTGTACATACATACATGCAGGCAAAAGCACACACATAAAAACAATAAAATAGCCGGGCAGTGGTGGCGCACGCCTTTAATCCCAGCACACGGGAGGCAGAGCCAGGCAGATCTCTGTGAGTTCAAGGCCAGCCTGGGCTACCAAGTGAGTTCCAGGAAAGTCACAAAGCTACACAGAGAAACTAAACAGAGAAACCAAAAAAAAAAAAAAAAAAAAAAAAAAAACCAATAAAATAAACTCAAAACCCACACGAACAAAAAACACTGGCTGCTCTTGTAGAGGACCCCAGGTTCAATTTCTAGCACCCACTAGCGGCTCACAACCATCTATAATTTCAGTTCCAGGGGATCTGACACCCTCTTCTGGCCTTTGTGGGTGCCAGGCACAGACGTTTGAGAAAAAAGAAAGTAGCAGGGCTGGAGAGGCGGCCCCGCTGTAAGAGCAGAGCTGAACCCAGCTCCCAGCATCTCAAAGCCTCTGACATTGTAAGCGCCTCCACACACAAAAGTGAAACAAAAACTCTGAGCAGTGGTGGCGCACGCCTTTAATCCCAGCACTCGGGAGGCAGAGGCAGGCGGATCTCTGTGAGTTCCAGGACAGCCAAGACTACAGAGAGGTTCAAAGGGCTTCAGAAACTTAGTTGTAGATTCCTATAAAGCAAAGGATCTCAACCTTCCTGATGCTGTGAACCTTTAATATACAGTTCATGTGGTGGTGACCCCCAAACATAAAATTATTTCAATTGCTACTTCCTTAACCGTAGTTTTGCTACTGTAAATAACTGTTTTCCAATGGTCTTGGGGACTCCTGTGAAAGGGCTGTTTGACCCCCAGCGGTCACGACCCACAGGTTGAGAACCACTGTTCTAAGGACTGGTGGGTACAGCTCAGTGACAGGGGTGCTTGCCTAGCACGTGGGAAGTTTTGAGTTTTTGATTCTCAATACCAAAAATAGAAATAAAACATCAAACTCAAGGGAACAGAACCAAAAGAGGTAGAGTCTGAAGATGTGACTGCATTGCTACAAGCTCTCTTTTTGCATGCAGGTACTCTCAGAGGCCAGAAGGTGTCAAATCCCCTGGAGCTGGAGTTACATCCATCCAACATGGATGGTGGGCATGACACTTGGATCCTCTAAAAGAACAGCTGGGTTGGTGGTGCACACCTTAAATCTCAGCACTTGGGAGGCAGAGGCAGGTAGAGCTCTGTGAGTTCTGGGACAGCTAAGGCCAACACATCATGAGGCCATGTCTGAAAAAACAAAACCCAACAAAAAAGTGGTGTGTCCTCCTAACTGCTCAAGCTAGGTTTCCAGCCCCTACCACCGTCTTTTGGTAAAATGAAAACCTCTGACGGACAAGCTGTCTCCATTTCCACTGGAGGAGGCGGCGTGAGATGACACAGGACTCACGACTCCACACGGACTGTTAGCCTGGCGGACGGGGAGGCCTGCAGGGTCTGAGGTGACCAATTCTAGTTTGGAAGGTCTTCTACTTTGGGGAAAATGCTCCACCAGCGTAACATGGCACAGAGAAGTTATTAGGGAAAGGAAGGGTCTCATGTCACCGCTCTCCACACCAGCTTTCAGCAAACAGCAGCGTCATCAACTGCAGCCGCTACACCCGGGGGTGGGGTTGGGGCTGGGGCTGGGGCTGGGGGTGGGGCTGGCTGCCACACGTTCGAGGCTCAGGTGATGTTGGTACTGTTTAGCAAGGTGTCAGCTTGACAAATTACAGCATGTACCTTATCTTCTCAGCGCACTCACGCTGTGGACCTTGCGTGGCTTGCTTACTTTGGCATGTGCTGTGCTAGAACCACAGCCCAGGATCTCTAGGGTATGCTTAACAAGGAAATGCTGAATAGCTTTGCTTAACAATGCGATTTCAACTGTAGGTGTTTTGCCTGCATGTATGACTGCACACGTGTGCACTGCCCACAGACGCCACATCAGATGTAAGGTCCCCTGGAATTGGAGTTAGGAGCTACCATGTGGGTGCTGGGAATTGAATCTGGGTCTTCTGGAAGAGCAGCCACTGCTCTGAGCTGCTCTTTATCAGAGAAGCATCTCTCCAGCACTACACAAGGTTTTTGAAAGCTGTAGTCAAACTAAAGAACTCTACGTGACAGGCCACTTCCTGCAGAGACTCACAGGTGAACTCCCTGATCCCCTGGGAGTGAACTAGACATAACCTACTACACAGTACAACGCTGACCCAAACCTCCTTTCTGATTACCCAGTTAGGTCATGTGACTGCGTTGAGATGTGGAGAACCTTAACCACCCTGGAAACTGGTCTACCTGTTTTTCATCAGCCGTATTTCCCTTTTGAGTTGGGGGTCGTCGGTCTTTGTTGTCTGAGATGTAAGAGTCACAGGAGAAGTCATCACCACAGTCTGTGGCAGTGAAGTGGCGGATGGTGTGGTTCGGATCTGGTAAGTCTGCATGTCTCCTGATGCAGCTGTGGAGCCAAAACAGTGAGTTATTCATGAAGTGCCCCAGAAAGGACGTGGACACGTCTGCAGATAAGGAGCACACTTACTCTGTACGACCACCTGGTTGCTCGGGACGAGTATTTGCTGTCCATCCGAAGTCTGTGCGTACTGGAGGATTGTACCTTGCTGAGTACTGCTGGAATTTGTCATGGCTAATGTCTGCAGTCCCTGTACTCCATCTGTGCCTGGACTGGCCAACTGTAAGGCTCCGTTTGGGGCAATGGCGACTTTAACCAAACAGAAAAAATTAGTTATAAGGCTATACAGTAATTCAAAGAAGGGAATAAAAACTAAACATTTAAGTAGGTTTGAAGGCAGGCCGTGGTGGTGCACGCTTTTAATCCCAGCAGAGGCAGGTGGATCTCTGTGAGTTTGAGGCCAGCCTGGTCTATAGAGCCAGTTTCAGAACAGTCAGAGAAACCCTTTCTTGAAAATCCAAAATTACATAAATAAATAGAGAATAGGTCTGAATATAGTTCTTCTTGGCAAAATCACTGACTACTCTTGATGTAGTAATGTCTTCATAAAATTTTATAGTTTAGACATACTACCTGAGATTTAGTCTCAGGCAGTATAATAATATCCAATGAATCATAAAAATAGCATATTTTGGAATTCATGGACATTTCATGTTAATGAAACATGCTAATGTTGCCACAGAAATTTCTGGGGCATTAATGAGAGCGCTAATGGCTAAGGATTTATTTTTGAGAGAGTTATCTCATGTAGCCTAGGCTGTGCTCAGACTCTATGGCCAAGAAGGCATGTTATATCACCATGCTTGTTCTAATTGCTAACTTTTTCCCCTTGGGATGGGGGCAAATAAACAAACATTTTAGGGTTTTATCTGAACCTGGACATGGTAACACACCTGTAATTCCAGCACTTAGAAGGTACGATCATGAGTTCAAGACCATAATAGGCTAGCATGGGTCTTTAAGAAGTGGAGAATTCAGAAGACTGTGTCCAGAGATTAGAGACAAGGCTCAGTGAGGAAGATGCTTGCTGAGGACCTGAGTTCACCTGGTGTCTCCACACTTCCTGTGCACAAACCAACTAAAACATTAAAAAAATTGTCTTGCCAGGTATTGGGGGAGGGGTGCACACATCTTTAATCCCAGCACTTGGGAAGCAGAAGCAGGGAGGTGTCTCTGAGTTCAGAACTTGGTCTAGATAGCCAGTTCCAGGCTAGCCAGGGCTACATGTGATATCCTGTCTCAAAAATAACTGAATAATGTATTATTATGAAATATGTAAAAATGTAAGACATTAAAGTTAAAATTTTTTTCAATACATTTTAAAAAGATTTTTAAATTGTGTGTATGTAATATGTTTTATCTGTGTATGGGTCTGTGCTTGTGTGAGTATAGATACCCTGGGAGTCTCAAAGAGGGTGTCAGATACCCTGGAATTAGAGTTCTAGGTGCATGTAAGTGCCCAATCAGGGGTGCTGGGAACCCATCTTGGGTCTTCTGCAAGAGTAGTATATGTTCTTGACTTCTGAGCCATTTCCCCAGCCCCTTGAAAACTATCTCTGAACAGGCACTGTTAGCCTAGGCCAGCCTCACTCATGTTCTCAGCTCTTTCTACTGCAGACTCTGGTTTACAGGTCACTACTTAAGTGATAAACAATGTAGCCAGGTGTGGTGGCGCACACCTTTAATCCTAGCACTCCAGAGGAAGAAGCAGGTGATCTCTGAGTTCGAGGCCAGTCTGGTCTACAGAGTGAGTTTCAGGACAGTCAGGACTACACAGAGAAACCATTTCGAAAAACACCCCTCAAATAAGAAGAAAAAGAAAAAAACAACCAACCATCAACAATTGAAAAAAAAAAAAAAGAATATAATGTATTCATTCACTACCTAGTGAAAATAAAGTCATCAGAAAGCCACTTGTGGACCACAGCATTGGACCGCAGACATTTTCACTGAACCACACCTATGTGCCTGCTCTCTTAAGTGACACACCCGAGAGGCGGGACCAAACAGATGCCCTATAAATTTGTATCAGAACTCAAAACCTTATGCCTGTGCCTTTTCACATCAAAACTAAGTTATGGTGGTATTTTATTTGTACTGAAATGTGATTTTAATTGTATATTAATAAATAAAATTGCCCGGGGGTCAGAGCTATTAGAGCCATAGCAAGAGCGTGGCGGCGGTGGGGCATGCCTTTAATCCCAGCACTTGGTAGAAGAGCTAGGTAGATCTCTGTGTGTTCAAGGATACAGCCAGCATTGGAGACACACGCCTTTAACAACACCTGGAGGGCTGTACATACAGGCAGTGACGAGGCAGTCACGTGTTTGGGTTTACAGCCAATGAGAAGGCAGAACAGAAAGACTATTTAAAGACAGACACACAGGAAGTAGCTCTCTTTTGGAGAGATAGGACCACTGCAGGAGGAAGGGTAAGATTTTAGCTCTGAGCTCTGACCTCTTGGCTTTCTCTTTTGCATTGGTCTGTGTTTCTTATTTAATAAGACGGTTGGTTACATCTACACTAAGTACTGTTCCCCTTTCAGACTTTGGCTACCTGGAAGTCACAACCTAGTACTGGAGTGTTGTAACTGAAATGACTTTTCCAGAAGCTCCTACTTAACTCTACCATATGCACACAGATTTGCACATACCTCAGTACACGACTCAAGAATGCTATTTTAGATAGAGGGTCCTTTTGAAATAATAGTTGCAAGTTTTCTCAATTTCTTCTCTGTGCAACAGATAATCATTCTCGCTCTCAAAAATCTTTAACAGTCTCATCATCCGTTCTAATTTATTTACTGTAGGATAGAGGTGACTGCCCTCCATGCCTTGAAGTACCCACCACCTCTGGTATACACCTGTCCGAGCCTTCTCAAATGGACTGACAGTAACATTTATCAAATATGTGTATGGAATACTTAGAGCTGCTGATGACTGTGTTTGGCTATCAGATATAAGCAACAATGTACTTTTTCTTCTTGCAACATGCCCTCTTTTAATTTACCATGTCTATTTATTTACCTGCCCTATTTATTCTAAAGCTGCACTATTCAATACAGTAGCCACCAGCCTCATGTAGCCACCATATAAAACTAAAGAACTCCAGTCCCATTTCAAGCCCTGAATATCTGTCCCAAACACTGTACACATTGCCACCACACACAGAAGTCCTACTGGACTCTCCCGCCCCAAACACCAGTCTGGGGGTGGACTTACTACACTCCCCGCCTGGAACCTCGGCCCAAGCTTCCTTTTCTGCGCTGCTGCCTTTAGCAGTCTGCGGGTTGGTGGTGCCAGGGAAACAAGTGTTCGTAAACGAGCACCAGTGTCAGCCGCCGCTGTCACGTCTGCAGCCACGTGTCCAGGACTCCAGAGCGTGCACGGGGACTGTATTTTAAGGAGTGGTCCCACAGCTGGAGAAACGGCCCACTGGTCGAGTGCTGGCTGCAATCAGGAACACCAGAGTTCAAGAGCCAAGCTCCCGGAGGAAGTCAGGTGTCCTGTGCACACCTCTAGTTCTAAAGAGGTGTGGAAACGGGGATTGCTGGAGCTTGCCATCTATGTCACGTTTAGGGAGAGACCCTGGCTCACAGGAAGAGCTCAAGAGGAGTACACCCGACCTCCTCTCTTTGTGTGCATAGACCTATGCACACAGAAAGACACACAAATAAAGTCAGCCTTAAAAAAAATGTCCCTTTAAGTGATGCTTAAACAGAGGAATGAGGTTAGCATAAGACTATCTGTGTGAGGAAATGGCCAACCCGGGATGACAACCTCAAAGACCTGAAGAATTAAAACATGCTGTGTGGGCTGGAGGTACACAGAAGTCTGTGGCCATAAACTGAGTACAGTCCTTAGGCCTGGGACACTACTACCTAGGTGGAAAAGAAGCCACTGCAGGGCCTGGAGCAAGAGTCTTATTTGACAATTTAGTCCTGATACGATTTGGTCTTAGACGGCCTCCTTTAACCTAGGCTGGCCCTGAACCTGCTCTATAACCAATCAAGAATGATCTTGAACTCCTGAACCTCCTGCCTCTGCCTTCCTAGGTTGGGATTATAGGTGTGGGTCACCATGCCCATTTTAGTTGATCCTTTAAATAAGTAACTTTGGCTAAAGCACGGAAAAGAAAATTAAGGTAATAACAGGAGCCAGGCGACAGATGACTGGAGGATCGATGCAGAAATGTGGGAAGAAGTGCTGAGTGGTTAGAGGGGCTGAAGAGTGGTCAGCTGGGACAGGCATTTTACCAAGGGGCCAGTCAGACTCACTAGCATTTTCTCTCTGGTGCTGGGAATTGACCCTCAGACTGTATATGGTAGGCAGTCAAGCACTTCACTGTCCAGCTACACATGGACTGCCAAGCAGACTTGTGAGTGGTCTTACACATCAACATTTATCAAAACTCCCAAAGTGATTGACAGACGACTGGCCAGGAAAATTGAGGAGAAAAGCTTACATGTAAATGGCATCACTCATGAGCTGAGCGGATGCTATAAGGGGAGGAACTGGAATACCTTCCTGAGTTCCACCACTAAGATAATCTTAAGGTGTGCCAACAATTTAATAAGAAAATATGGGGAAATCTAGATGGAAAAGCATAAGCCCATTATTATTATTATTATTATTATTATTATTATTATTATTATTGTTATTTGTTTTTTGGTTTTTTGAGACAGAGTTTCTCTGTGTAGCTTTGTGCCTTTCCTGGAACTCGCTTTGGAGACCAGGCTAGCCTTGAACTCAGAGATCCACCTAAGCCCAATATTACAAAAGACATATAAGTATGCTTAGAAGCATTGGGTGTGGGAGCACACACCTTTAATTTCAGAGGCAGAGGGAGGCTGGTCTCTGTTAGTTCCAGGCCAGCCAGAGCCACATAGAGTTCATTATATCTGTTAACTTTGTTAAATGTCATTTTAACAAATGAAAGAACTTCATTTCCTAAATGATTAGGCAGAACACGAGTGTGAGCACAGTACAAGTTCCGGACTGTACTCAACACTGGCTGGGGTCTTCACTGACTTCCCCTTCCACCCTCACTAGTCCCTAGCTGGGAGTCACACCACAGCCAGCAGCTTGGTTCTCTACATTGACAGCCCAGCATTGCATGCATGGTGCATGCTACCACTGCATCAAAGTCTTAGTTCTTTTTTATCCTTAACCTCAAACTGAAAACACAACGTTCCTGTTTAATCTTCTAATACAGAAGCAATATCAATTTCCACCAGCATTATTAAGGTCCCAGACATAAGGGGCCCAAAGAGCACTTGTACATAGGATTTCCCCTCTCCACAAACAATCTCGAGAACCAGACAGATGGAACTGAATCCTGGCTCCATTACTTACAAGCTATTGACATCAGAGACAATATCTAATGGGGTGCAGCATGTACACAGGAGAGACTCTTCTTTGAGGCGGTCTCATTACACAGTGACTGGCCAGGGACTATGGAGTCCTGGCTGGCCTTGAACTTCAGTATCCCAACTGATAGGATAATGGGCCTTGCCACCACACCAGGGGAAACCTATCTACCTTTCTAAATCTCTATTCCTTCACCCACGGTCAACTCCTATCCTACGAAGTTGCTGAAGCACACGTGAGTGACTAATGGCAGTCTTTCTGTAGACATGGCTTTCCACAGGTCAGTTGTGTGTCTACCACACACGGGAACAAGTCTATACATACTGTATTGTCCGCTGCTGGTCTGATAGATGGGGGTTGGAACAGACATAGACGTGACAGCAGAAATACAAGGACTTTCTCCGTCTCCTTTTCTGCCCCGTGTATCTTCAGAAGAAAGGTCTTTCAAAATTTTCCTGTTAAAAAACAAAACTGTTAATGACAGTGCCTTACAAAGACAGTCTCTCCTGCCCGCCCTCTGTGTGACGGTAGCCTCACTACCCACCCAGGCTCCCAAGTGCTGGCATTACAGGAGCTACCACCCCTGTCCAGGTTAGAAGTGCAATATCTAACTGGGTGTGGTGCTATATGCCTTTAGTCTCAGTTTGGCAGGCAGAGGCAGGAGGATTACTTCGATCAGGAATTTGAAATGAACTGTCTCAAAGACAGAGCAGAGATAACCAAAAGCAGAAGTCAGTATTTCTATGTCAGCCCTGCGGGTGGCCGAGTCAGAGGGGCGGCGGATAGATGGCAGTTGACTTCAGGTGTCAGCCCACCAGGAGGCGACTGCCTGATGGGTCGATCTCGGAGAGGCAAGGCCCTGAGAACACAGACTCTTGGATGTCTTTAGCTTCTGCTGTGCCTTCCCATGTCTGTTGTATCTTTCTCTGGTATCTGGCATGGTGTAAATGGGTGTGGGGAGATCCCCACTGCCTGTAATGTGGTGTGTTTATCTCTTGGATACATCCCGTTCTACTGGGCATTTTTACCTGTGGATTATTATGATGATTTCTTCCTAAGCTGTACTGTCTAATTGATAACAATAATGCTAGTCTAAATAGAGTTTTGGTGATTAAAAAGTCCAACAGCTTTGAGGTAAAAAAAACCAAGAGACAATCAAAGTTTTAGAAAGACACACAGTTGAGTGAGGAACTCTTTAAGGCCAGGGAACAAGAACAAAGCAGCCCAATTATTACTAGCTGATGTACTTTTCTTGCTAGGACTGGTTGATGACCAAAGGTGATGATTAATTCCTTAGACCCATTTCTGCCCTCAATCTCCTGATATCAAAAACTATTGTTGGGGCCGGGCAGCGGTGGCGCACACCTTTAATCCCAGCACTGGGGAGGCAGAGGCAGGTGGATCTCTGTGAGTTTGAGGCTAGTCTGGTCTACAGAGCTAGTTCCAGGACAGGCACCAAAACTACACGGAGAAACCCTGTCTCGAGAAAAAAACAAAACAAAACAAAAACTATTGTTGGGTATGTATCATAAAGATTTAAAGTAGAGCTGACTGATTCTTTTTCATATATAAAAGTTTAGATTTGTGATTCCCTTAAGATTCCTTCTAAGATTACCTTTCAAGATAAGTAATAAAGTAACTGGCCCTTTCTTTGTAACTGCAAAACATAGCCTGCCAGTAAAAGTCCTGACTGAGAAAACTATCTTGCTTGCTTATACACTGTTAATCTATAACAAGTTGCTTGGGTATGAATGTACGTGGGTTTTTGGGATAATTTGTTTTTCAACTGTTATACGTAAAATGTTTAATTATGTTAAGGGATATGGAAAACATGCTGTTTTTTATTTGTATTCATTGTAATTATTTACTTGAAAAACAATGTAACCAAACTGTAATTTTTATACTGCCTGAAAGATTTTGCTGGGGGTATATAAGCTGGAAGAAAAAGAATAGAGAGTTAAAATGGGTTAGAAGGAAAACATCAAGAATGAGAGTAGGATTAGAAAATGCAGAAGAAGAATAAAGAAAAGGTCTGAAGGAAACCATCAAGAGAGTGTGTCTTTCTCCCTTAAACCCCCCCCCTCCCCAGATAAAGAAGTCTAGTACATACAGACTCTGTGGATTCCCTCTGAGCTCTGCACTGCTGAGGGTTGGCCCCCCAGGCAGCGATACAGCTCAGTGTGCTCTATCGAATCACCCCATTTGAATTCTCCAGGGGAGCGAGGAGCATGCAGTCTTTAAACTCAGCCAGCTGCTGAAACAGATCTCAGAGTCACAAGAGAGCAGAGTCTGAGTCATCACAATGCAGTCAGAGCTGTGGCTAGGAATGGCTTTAAATCCCAGAAACTCCTTGCCCTGTCAATCATCCTCAAGTGACCTTGACTCTGGAATCCTAGAGTTTAGCGGAAGGTTCTGCTGTCTGGACAGGACAGATCTCTGAACTAATTCTCCAGCACTCACCTCAGCTTCGTTCAACATGGCAATGTTCATGTGTACAGCGGTAACTAACAAGATGGAAGGAACTGTGCCTCCCTGTTCCTGAGGCAGTCTGATGGAGCTGGCACTACAAGGACAAGCCTGCTCTGAGACAAGGCAGGATCAAGGGCAGGGTCCCGAGAAAGGAACAGAGGGTCTGACTCACAATCCTAGTTAAGCCAGTCTTATCCCAGATCTACATACAAGAAAGAACAGAGAAGCCACTGCTTGTCCAAACACAGCTGTCAGCAGGACTCCAGAAGGAGAGACTGTAAGGAAACCTTCCCAGAAAGGAAACCTTGGAAACAGCACAGCTGCCGGGAATTCCTGGAAAACCCCTCAAGTGAATGAGTTACAAGCAAGCAAATCAAGGAGCTTCCCTATTCATCCACAAAGAGAGCTGGCCTGGAGAGGGAATGAATGGTTCCTTGGGAGAACTCTGTGTAGCCCTGGCTGTCCTTGAACTCAGAGATCTGCCTGCCTCTGCCTTCCAAGTGCTGGGATTAATGGTGTGCACCACCACTGCCCAGCCTTTCTCTTTTCCTTTTTTTTGTGTGTGTAGGGCTCAATAAATAACTGTTAAATTTTTAAAAAGGACAATAATTAAGCTGACCTTAGTGGTGCACACCTTTAATCCCAGAGGCAGAGGCAGGCCGACCTGTGAGTTCCAGGCCAGTCACAGACCCTGTCTCAAAAACAAAAAAAAAAAACAAACAACCATAAACAGACAGACAGACAAATAAAAAACACTATGGTATGGGGCTCTAGTAGAGAGTTGTGCTTCTTAAAAAGTCTTAGGGGGCTGGAGAGATGGCTCAGCAGTTAAGAGCACTAGCTGCTCTTCCAAAGGACCTGGGTTCAATACCCAGCACCTACATGGCAGCTCACAACTGTCTGTAACTCCATTCCAGGGGACCCAACTCCCTCACACAGATATTCCATGCAGAATACCAATGCATATGAAATAAATCATCAAAAAAAAAAAAAATTGGGCAGTAGTGGCGCATGCTTTTAATCCCAGCACTCAGGATCTCTGAGTTCAAGGCCAGCCTGGTCTACAGAGCAAGTTCCAGGACAGCCAGAGCTGTTACACAGAGAAACCCTGTCTGTCTTAAAAGGGGTGGGGTGGGGAGGGGAGAAGACGTCTTAAGGGATTAAGTAATCTTTTGTTTGGCATTTATCATTATAATGATGTATTCTAGACTAACTGTATTTTATTCAGTATTTGCCCTTCTCCTTTCCGGGATCTTTTTGCAGTCTCTGTCCAGCTTTAGCCTGTGATAACCACCTTGCTGGGTGGATGCCCACACGGACAGTTGTGCCGTTAGCCTTTTCTCGCTGTAGATGGCATAGTTCTTCCTGTACAGTTGGACCACTTTGCCAATCTGCTAGCCTTTGAGTGTCCTCAGACAACCTGCATGTCTTCATCCTTTGGAATAGACTGAACACTGTACTTCTGTCTCAGCTCTTTGAAAGAGGGGAGGACATGATCTTCCTTCAAGTGTGAGAGGTGCACTGAAATACCGTTAGCCGTTCTTGCTTCAGTCACAAAGGTTTTGAACTTCATTTTGGCCATGACAACTAGCCGAATACTCCATCTTGGTTTCTTGAGACAGGGTCTTTCTACACAGTGCCAGCTGGAACTCAACAGTTGGAAGGCTGCCTTCCAACTCAGAGATCCACCTGCCCCTGCCTCTCAAACGCTGGGATTAAAAGTATGTATACCCTAGTCAGGTGGGTTTAATGCTGTGAATCTTTCTGTAATTAATGTTTTGAGTTACGTCCCACAAAATCTGATATTTTGCACAGACACAGCTCCCAGACAGTCTCATTTAGCCCAGAACTCTCTTCCTAGTTAGGGATGATCTTCAACTCCTGATCTTCCTGTCTCCACGTCTCAAGAGCTCAGATTACAAATGTGTGTCAGCAGCCTGGTTCTTTGAAAGCATTTTTATTAGTCTTTATGCACGTGTGTGTGCCAGAGGGGGATAGGTTCCCCTCTCACAACACAGGTCCCAGGGACTGAACCAAGGTCGGCAGGCTTGGACGCGGGCCATTGTACCTGCTGAGCAGTGCTGGGACTACAGTGTGGTTTATGCAGTGTTGGGGACTGAGTATGGTAGGCAAGCACTCTACCAACTCAAGTGTATTCCCAGTATTAACAAGTTTCTTAACTGATGAAGACTAAAATGCAAGCTGGCCATTATAGCTCAGCTCACACTTGTAATCTCAGCACCCCAGAGGCTAAGGCAGGAGGACTGCTCCAAGTTCTAGACCAGCCAGTGCTACATGGTGAGACCATGTCTCAAAAAAAAAAGTACTACTATGAAAACAAGACAATTCCTTTTTTTTAAAAAAAAATTTTTGGTGGCTGGAGAGAGAGCCATGGGTGCTGGGAACCGAGCTCTTGTATTTTTGGTTGTGAGCCTAGGCTTTAACGGCTGAGTCATTTCTCCAGCCCAATTATAACTTCCTTTAAGACTTCCTGTTTAGCAGCCAGGTAGTGTGCCTTTAGTCCCAGCACTCGGGAGGCAGAGGCAGGTGATGCGTTCGAAGCCAGCCTGGTCTACAGAGTGAGTTCTAGGACATCCAGGGTGCTGTGAAATAATCCTTTTGCACATTGTGAATGTGTGCTGCTCTCGTTGGTTTAATTAAGAGCCAACTAGCCAACAGCTAGGCAGGAAGAGGTTATAGGTAGGAGAGCGAGACAGAACACTGGGAAGAAGAAGGGTGGAGCTGCCAGCCAGATGCACAGGGAGCAGGACTTGTAGAAAAACAAGGTAACAGCCATAAGCCACGTGGCAGCACATAAATGAATAGAAATGGGTTTATTTAAATTGTAAGAGCTAGTTAGAAAAACTCCACCCACACAAGGATACACAGAGAAATCCCGTCTCAAAAAACAGAAACACTTCCTGTTTGGCAAATGAAATGTTTCTTAGTTTAATTTCCAATTATTTGGAGATTTTCCTATTATATTTCTATTAGTCTAATTCTAGTATGAGAACATATATGATTTCAGTTCTTTTAAATTGCTAAGGGCATTCCTCTTCTTGAGAACTCTCTTTTCCTTAATAAATAAATATATGTTGAGTCTGCTATAAAAAAAAAAAAATAGGTTTGTCCTAACCCAGGTGTGGCATTTCCTTTTTCCTTTTTCTTCCTTTGAAACAGGGCCCTACCCTGGCTGGCCTGCAGCTGTGTGGAACCAGGATGCCTTCAAATTCAAGAACTCTACTACCTTCTTGTGTCACCATACTCAGCAGTTTGTTTGGTTTTCGAAACAGGTCTTACTCTATAGACTAGGTTGGCCTCAAACTCAGAAGTAATCCTCCTGCCCCAGCTTTACAAGTCTAGGTTTATAGGGATGAACTACCACACTCAGTGCAAAGCTGTGTCTTTGGTACATGAATAATGTGCTTTGTCCAGTTGTTTGGTGGATGCCTCCCCAAACCATTTTACTCCACTGGTTGCTAGTGTTAACCAATTGGCTTACCTGTCTTCTCACTTGTTAGCTGTGACACATGTATTCACGCACACATCTTCGCCTTTTAGAAGAAAAGGTGTGAAATCAACCACCCTGCACTTATCCCGTGTGCAGTGCAGCGTGTCCAGCCTTTAGTCACCCTCAGGGGTGTGCAGTATTAGTCACCACACTCTAACTTTAGAACAGATGTTCCCTTCTCAATGTCAGACCCTTCTTCTATCCCTGGGGCTAAGCACCCTTGATTCAGAGGTGCCAGAGAGCTTTCCTGTCTCTTCTCACTAGTCTCCAAAATGGATTTTTTTCTTTTCTCTCCAATCTCCTTTTAAACACATCTGAGTTTTACTTCTGTTACATTTCTCTCATGTCTGCCCAGAGTTTCTATTTCCATTTATTTCAAGAGGACTAACACTTACTTACTAGAACATTTTCATAACAGGCCCTTCTAAATCTGTACCACGTAATTCCATCATCTCTGCTATCTAGGTGTCAGAATCTGCTAACAGCCTCCTCACCCACCCAACGAGGGACTTTTTCAGGCCAAGTGATTTCAGACATTTTCAGTAGTCTATTATCTGAGTCTTGTTTGAATCCTACAGAGAATGTTTCACTTAGTAGGCTAAAACAATCAATCTAGTCATGTCTAAGCTACACGTTCTAACAGGCCTTCTCTCTGCTGTGGTTCCAGTATCAATTCAATTCTCAAAGCCTTCTGCGGTTCTGTTTGGATCTGTGCCTAGGACAGCAAGTTAGGATCTGGGCTACAGATTCTCCTGTACATCTTCTTGTTTTCAAAAGTCCACATGTGCTTGGGAAGCCATTTCTAGCCTTCATTTGCTAAAATGTACAATGGGATGGGTATGTGTTGGATGTCATAGAAAGTTTCCTCTGCCTAGTATTACTTCTGCGGATTCCTTGCCATTTACTGATGTGTGTGTGTGTGTGTGTTTGTGCGTGCGTGCGTGCGCAGAGGCTGGATAACAACTGTCACAAGTTTCTTCTGTCACTTTTCAGGTAGTTCACCTCCATGTACATGAGGACTTCCTGCTGAATTCAGCTTTGGGGAGTAACCTAAGCCTTACCTTGGGAAGCTGCTTCTCAGATTCTAGCCTCCTTCGGTGCTCAGCTTAGGGAACAAAACCCAGTCGAGTCCTTCCTATCACACACTAAGGCAGTCAAGCACTCTGGTACCCGCTCTTCATGCCCCCCCCCCCCCCCCCCCCCCCCGGTTTTCAAGACAGGGTTTCTCTGCATAGCCCTGGCTGTCTGGGATCTCACTCTGTAGACCAGGCTGGCCTTGAACTCATACAAATGGCTCTGCCTCCCCAGTGCTGGGATTAAGGGCGTGTGCCACCACCGCCTGGCTAGTGACTACTTTTAATAGCTTGTGATAAGTCTACAGTAATCAGTATAAAATTCCAAGAGACTATTTCTGTCTGGAGTACCCCCATATTCTCCCTTTCCTTCCCCTTCTTGTGGTACTGGGGACCAAACCCAGGGCCTTACACATACAGGTTAAGTGCTCTACACTGACATGCATTTCCAGATCCCTATTGTATTACCAAGCGACCAAATGAGTCACAGCTAGTGTTCTAAGAAGCCAGCAGAAGCAAACACTTATCTCTGGGTTAGCACAAGGACAAACCCAGGCCTTGTACATGCAGGCAAGACGTAACCACTGGGGTACATTCCTGAGTACAGAATTCCAGGCCAAAAGGTAGGTTTTAGTCCATCATGTCTAACGCTGCTGTCCCTGCTGTTCGAGACACCTGCTGTTTGTTAGCTTAGTGACCATTCCTTTCTAGATAATCTTTTTAGAATCCAATGGTTATCTGGGCTGGGAACACAGCTCAGTGATAGCTTGCCTAGCACATATTTACCAGCACCAGGAAAACAAAACTCAATCTCGTATTCTCCAATTTTTCCTTAAGACTCACCCAGACACAGTTCTGCATACATTTCTCATTTGGGAATCTTCCTTTCTGAAGCCAATAACTCAGGCCCTGGAACACCCGTCCTCTCCTGAGGGAGTAGCTAGAAGCGCCCTTCCCGCTCTCTCTGTGGGAGATGGCTGTAGGTCATGCCTTCCCAGCCTATGGCCTCCCTCCTCACTTCTATTTACTTCCTGTGCTCATCTTAGGTCATCTACTCAGGGCCTTCCTCCTTCACCTCCAACTACCCAATTCTTCAGTCACATCTAAACTGCTGTAATGCTTATTTTAAATTTCTCAGCAGACCTCAGGACCTATCTTTGTAGTTTTCTTCCTTTTCAAAGTCCTCCCAATCTCCTGGTCCAGTGTGGGTTTGATTCCTCTTGGTGTCTTTCTTGACTTAAATTAGACACGGAGTCCATGGTGATTTCATGATGAGAGGTTGTGTGTACTAATAACATATTATTTCTTGTAGCTCTTTATCGTTTTTTCAATCACATTCTTTAGGATTTTCCCCGCCCCCAAATTGTCACTCTGTTTTGAGGAGGTGTCCTCTGAACACCATGTTTGGTGTGAACCTGTGCTGTGGGGAGACAGTGGGGCCTAGTGGCAGGGACGTGCCCTCCCTCACTAGGGGCTGGCCCAGGCTCTCGAACAGCAGACCTGCTCCCTCCTGCGGTCTACCCTGCATCCTTCTGTCCTTAGCTGAAGGAGCTCTTCTGCTGCCTTACAAACTGCCTGTTCAAACAAAGATCAAATTAGTGTCGCCTTGATTCACACCTGGTAATTCCTTCCTATTTATTCTACAGACATACTGACCCTATACACACTTCTCTCACACCACCTAAGATCTTACTACAGTGTTTACAGGCTTCTTCATTCTCTGATTCCTCCTACCATACAGCCTCCAGATTTGGTCAATTCTACCATGGACCCGCCACAAATTCACTCACTCCAAATATATCCCTACTCCTTCCTATCCATATGAAATTACAGACAACTGCAAAGGCCCTCTGTCAGCTGGTCGTAGTACTTACCGATCCCGATTAACCGAGCAAGTCATTACTCAGCATTTACTAAGGGATGGTTACAATGCTAAGACCCAGCATCACTGAAAAATATGGCCATCCCCCTTCAAATGGAATCCCCCCCCCCCCCGACACAGTTTCTCTGTTGTCTAATTTTGGTGCCTGTCCTGGATCTCACTCTGTAGACCAGGCTGGCCTCGAACTCAGAGATCTGCCTCCCAAGTGCTAGGATTAAAGGCGTGCACTGCCACCACCACCACCACCACCTGGCTCAAATGGAATTCTAAGGGGCTAGAAACATGGCTCAATGGTTACTGTTTCAGCAGAGAACCCAGGTTCAGTTCCCAGCACCCACATGGCAGCTCACAACCACCTATAACTCCAGTTCCAGGGGATCTGACACCTTCTAGCCTCCTGAACACACATGCCACACACAAAGGCACACAGGCAAACACCATTAACATAAGTGAATCTAAAAGCACTAACAAGTACTAAAAAGAGCTACAGAAGACAGACTTTATTGTCTCAGGTCCGTCAGGAAGAGGCAGGTTGAGGCTTCTGGTAAGCACACACAGGAGTTATGCAGAATGTAGAGGTATTTCAGACAAGCTACACAAGGGCCTGGACTAAGGCTCAGACTCAGAACGAGAAGACACAGCACACACTCTAACTTGGCAGTCCTGCTTTTATATGGCTGTTAGAGTAAAAACTGCCAGCGGGGCGCAATGACACATGCTTTGAATCCCAGCACTTGGGAGAAGAGGGAGGGGGCCTCTGAGTTTGAGGACAGCCTGATCTATATAGAAAGATCTCAAAAACACAAACTATTTTAAGCCTAAATTCTTTAGCTTAATCTGCTTCTACTATACCTCTCCTAACTGCGACCTTGTCTAACCACGCTTGCCCTCTTTATTTTCACAGAACTATCTGAACACGTTTGATAACAAAGTACCAACCTGTAAGATGGGCGCCGAGCCAGGATGCCGTGGGCTTTCTGGGAGGAGCCTATGCTGTCAGATGAGTCCTGAGACTCCTCACTTTCTGAGAAAGATGACACCTAAAAATCAGAACCGATTTTAATATCTGAAGACAGACAGGGAAAGAATCGAGTTTTTACTTTCAAAGAAATGATCTGTCTCCTGTCACCCAATTCACTGCACATCACTCCTCGGGTATAACAGAGCAAAGGGGAGCACAGTAACTCAAGAAACCAATGGGCACAGCCCCCCTCTAATCCCAGCACCCGGGAGGCGGGGCAGGCGGGTCTACAGAGTGAGGTCTAGAACAGAGAAACCAAGAAGAAAAGAAAAAGGAAAGAGCATACAATATAGTAGCCCAAAGCTAACAGAGCTTATGTCTCCAATAAAATGGTACTAACTGGGGGCTGGAGAGATGGCTGAGTGGTTAAGAACACTGGCTGCTCTTCCAGAGGTTCGAAGTTCATTCCCAGTATGCAGACATGTAGACAAAGCACTAATATACATAAATAAATACATATGTAAATAAACCTTGAAATGGTATTATTCTACTGGTTACAAATAAAAAGATACTTCTGATCTCACCCTGAGCCATATTTAGAGATTCTCAGTTTAAAAAGCCTATTAGAAACCTAACTGTTCTCAGGAGACTGCTGAATCTGTAAGCACACAGACTGAGGTCTGCTGGATGCATGCACGTGGCATGCTGGGAATTGAAATGGCTCGCGATTATGAGCTTGTACTGTTCTTCCAGAGGACCAGAGTTCAATTCCTAGCAGCCACACTGTGCTGCTTCAGGAGGCTCTGAGGCCTCTGACCTCCACCGGCATCTGCACACACATGAAGGTACTCTACACATAATTTAAAATAATAAGCGTGCATTTTTGGAAGGCAAAGCTCTTTGGAGTCCTTAAAGCCATAAAATTTAACAGGCAATCACACTTAAGAATACTTTAGCATTAATAAACTGATAAAAAGAGAAGAGGAAAATGAGGGAGGGAGGACCTCCAAACAGTTTCCAATCTCTGCAGCTGCCATCTTTCCCACAGAGGAACAGACCAAACAAGCCACACCGCGGCCATGTGTGGCACAGCTGGGAGGCCAGCAGCCAGGAGTTTGAAGTCGCCTCACTACCCAGCAAGACTCTGGCTCCAAACACGCCCAACGCTACCCTGACAACACTGCCAGTCAGTGTGCTCAGGAGGAAACAATGACTGACAGCTTCCTTCCCAGACAGAAGAGCGTCTCAGGACCTGTCAGGTGGCTAGGCAGTCATCAGCAGGGTTGGAGGTCCTGGGAATGGGACCCTCTCATCATCAGTGTAGAAAACCAAGAACTCAAACGGTAGTGCTCTGACTTCTGCTCAACTAAAATCTAAGTCCTGGACCTAGCCCTGGATAGGTGACATCTTTCACTGCTCCAATGCCATCCATCCAACCTTAGGATTATCTGGCAAGTCAATTCTAACCAGGAGGCTTCCTGATAAAAGAGCAAGGACTAGTAATCACTGTGCCCTCCCCTAAGAATCACCCCAAATGGGTCTGTCAATAACTTGGATAGGAAAATGAGCCCCCCACAAAATAAAACCCCCATATTCTAGAGGCTTTGAAACAAGTATAAAATCTTTTTAAAATGTAGCTAGGTATGATGGTCTCATTGAGAGTGTAGTCCAAGCAGACTGTAATAAAGTATCTTCCGTCTACATACTACTCTGTGCTGAATTCTTGTGATGGAGCTCCAAAGGCCAGGAAGACAGATCTGGTGACAGCTACTAGACACATGTTTCTATCAAGTATTTGAAATGTGGCTTTTTTTTTTTTTTTTTTTTTTTTTTTTTTTTGAGATAGGGTCTATGTAGCCCTGGCTGTCCAGCAACTCTCTGGAGACCAGGATAGTCTCAAACTCACAGAGGTCCACCTGCCTCTGCCCCAGAAGTGTTGGGATTAAAGGTGTGCACCACCACATACAGCTTAAAGGAATAACTAAGTTTATTTAATTTAACTAAATTAAAACTGATAAACATGCTGGCTGTTGGTTATATATTGAAAAATGCAACCCTAGCCAGGTGATAGTGGCAAACACCTTTAATCCCAGCACTCAGGAGGCAGAGGCAGGCGGATCTCTGTGAGTTCCAGGTCAGCCTGGTCTAGGGAGCGAGTTCCAGGACAGGTGCAAAGCTACAGAGAAACCCTGTCTCAAAAAACAAAACAAAACAACACCAACAACAAAAAACAAAGTGAGTTCCAGAACAGTCAGGGCTACACAATCCCTGTCCTTTCTCCCCAAAGGAAAGAAAAATGCAATCCTATCTTGATACCTGTCACACCCAGAACTTATCAGGAATAAAAGATTTGTTCATTAATACAGTACCAATTATACTGTAATTTACTATAATATTGTTTTTACTGAGTTCTTAATGTATCAAAGTCACTAAGTCAACATATAAAGGAAAACCAAAAGGTCTGCCTAAAGCTGAGGGCATGGTGGCACATTCCTTTAATCCCAGGCAGAGGTAAGTAGATAGTTTCAGGTCATACAAGGCTACACAGTAAGACCTTGCCTTAAAAAAAAAAAAAAAAAAGTTCTTGCTCTGTTTCTGAAAAACTCTTTAATTAAAGCACACTGGTTAGACAGGAGCTAAGCTTTTAAGTCTGCAGCCCCGTCCCTTACGCAGTATAAAGATAACTGAAACTTCTACAGATTAAATCCTTTAAAGGCACACAAAAACATACTTTCAGGAGAATTACAATTCCATCTATTTTCTATTCCATAATACACTTTCTTTTAAAAGACCCTTCTTTGTAGAGTCAACTGTACAGAAAATGTACTTTACTATGTAAAAAAAGAAACTTCGTGTCTACTGCCATAGCTGTGTGGTTAACTACTAAGCAGTACCAGTAATTTGGAAACAGAATAAAGTAAAAATCAAGCTTCTGAAAACCCTCCCGGGCTTGCAGAGGATCACACTCCCAAGCCCACTTCCTCTTGGCTGGCGCTGCCCTGCCAGGAGCCTCTCAAAGTTCAAACCCACCTGTCCTGCTGAGCGTTTCCCTGGGGAGGATGCCCTTTTCCTGAGAGTGTCAAATTCCCTCTGAGGAGCTCTCTGTAGCTCCAAAGGGGGAATACTTTTGGGACTTCTCAGGGTCAAAACTTCACTGCTGGGTGACTTCTGGCCCATGTGTTCATCCCTCTACTACACAGGAGACAACAGAAATGTCTCTTTTTGCTCCACTCTCTGTATCTGCAGCCAGAATCTTACCCAAACTGGTATGTCAAGGTTGTTAATGCAATAATGGGGGGCGGCACAGGACAATGACACAAGATGCAAACTCTTCTAGCGCTGTCAGGCCTATGTGCTATCTGCCCTGAGTTTTGACATGCCCATTTTTCACTGTTGACAACTTACTGTGTTCCAGTCAATGCCCTTACTTAAAAAAAAAAAAGTCTGAAAAGGAAACCTTTAAACTGAAAAGAAAATGTTTGTACTGGAGAGAAGGAGAGATTTATAAAAAAGCAAAGAACAAAAGCACCTTGTGGCCAGACGGTGATGGCACACGTCTTTAATCCCAGCACTCAGGAGGCAGAGGCAGGCGGATCTCTGTGAGTTCGAGGCCAGCCTGGTCTCCAAAGCGAGTTCCAAGAAAGGTGCAAAGCTACACAAAGAAACCCTGTCTTGAAAAAAACAAACAAAAACAAAAACAAAACAAAACAAAAAACCACCTTGTTTTCAGTTAAGGGGAGGAGATTTGAGGACTGTAACAGCAGCAAGGCAGAGCAAAGCAGACAGTCTTGAGCAATCACTTGGTAACTCCTGCTCTAGACTTTCCAAGCATATCTGTAATGTGAGCAGATTTGAAAAATACAGTTATCCTGCTTGATCAAAATGATTCCCAATAGTCATCCATTTTTAAAGCTTAATGGCCAGTAAGAAATGAAGCACCAGAAAAAGCAGAAACAATCAACAGCAGAATCAGACCCAAAGGAGACAGTCACATCATTAGATGCAGATGATCAAACACTTAAGCTTGATGTTGGAAGTAATAGAACTGATGTTATAAAGGATTTACCAAGGAGACATTAAATCACACAAACAGAATTTAGAGAAGGGAGCAATGCTTCCAAAATACTGCAAAGAAAAGTAGTATGGCCAGACGGTGTTGGCACACGCCTTTAATACTAGCACCCAGGAGGCAAAGGCAGAGGCAGGTGGATCTCTGTGAGTTCGAGGACAGCCTGGTCTACAGAGTGAGTTCTGGGAAAGGCGCAAAGCTACACAGAAAAACCCTGTGCAGTTGGAGTTTTCCTGTGTCCAGCCGGCTCCTGCAGCCACTCAGACCCAAGTAAATACATAGACATATATTACTTATAAACTGTATGGCCACTGCAGGTTTCTTGCTATCTAGTTCTTATTATCCTAAATTAGCCCATTTCTACAAATCTATACCTTGCCATGTGGCCTGTGGCTTACCGGTATCTTTATATCTTACTTCTCATGCCTTCTACTTCTCAGCATTCTCCTCTCTGCTTGTCCCGCCTATACTATACCTCCTGCCTGGCTACTGGCCAATCAGTGTTTTATTTATCAATCAGAGCAAAACATTCACAGCATACAGACCATCCCACAGCAATCCTGTCTCAAAAAAAAAAATAAATAAATAAAAAACAAAAAACAAAACAAAAAAAAGAAAAGTAGTATGCCAACCAGGTTGGGTAGATATGTTTGTTCACCAGGATGAAGCCTACTCCCAAGAACCTGCTTCTCTTCTAACAGGCAGCTCAAGAGACAGTACAGGATCACTGTCCCGGTCTACCATGGAGTATAAAAACCCCATTTCTCTTCTTGAGAAAAGCATAGTTCTGCAAATGGACAAGCTGACCCCAGGTAATAATTATTTGAAAAGAAGCTGAGGTAGGCTGACCCTTGACTTGGGCAGACTCGCCCCTCTGGCAGGATGTTGAACACTCTCTGGGATTTGATGACACTGAGATTGATCCTTTGGACTTTGATGCTGTTGCTTCTCCTACTCCCCAGTGTGCTTGGGAAACACCACTGGCTTAGACATTAGGCACCCAGAGATGC